GCCCCCGACGCACAGCCTCCCGCCGTCGCTGGAAGGTGACGACAGGGGCGGGGTCAAGCCGGAAGCGCTTCTCAGACCCTCTCCCCCTGGCCCGGCCCTGGGAAGTCGGCCCTCGGTCACCTCCCTGTCGCCTCACCTCGGGCCGAGCTCGCGTCGGGGAGCAGCTTCCACATGAATCCGGCCTCAGTGTCGGGCGACGTGCGGCTGTGCAGCCTCAGCTGCCAGTCAGGCGCGGCCCCGGAACCTGCGAACTGGCGGGCTCCGAGACGTGCCTGCTCGCGGACTGCGCCTGCGCAGGAGGAGGCGGCGGCGCCCGGTCGCCACCTGGTGGCGGGGAGGGGATGGCGCAGTCTCTAGGGAAGTGTGTTCGCCAATATTAGGTTATCTGCATTTTCTGGTTGTAAAGGGGAAATAGCTTTATAATTAACTACAAAGCAACATAAGGAAACTTCATACTTAAAGGACACTAACATACTAATCACTGAGTAGAAATAGAAAAAAGGCCTTCCACAACTTATGGGAAGCTCCTGGTAATTAAACCCCAACATGTTAGCTCCTCTGACTCAAACAGCCCCTCTGTTCAAATTGGAAGACAAGATAAGTTACGCTCAAGACTACATTCTTGCATACACCTCCTCTCTGCTGTTTTTTTTGGGGTGTGTGTGTTTTGTTTTGTTTTTTTACAACTCGGGTAATTCACACCAACAAGTCTCTAATTAGTAGAAAGTTTCCTTCCCCCTCCTCTTCAAACAAGCCTCTTTGGAACTCTTCCTAACTTTTACTCTAAGCATCTTTTACACGCTTGGGTGGAGATACTGATAAAGACATCTCCCTAGGACATCTGCCTTGGTTGTCTCCTGAAGAACAAACTACAACCCCCCTGATGTCCAATTTCAGCCCCACCCCCTTCCTTGTCACCTAGCAACAGCAGCCAAGGCGTTAAAAGGGGGAGCTGCTTTTGTTCTTTGCCCTTTTATGATTAGCAACGCACGGGCCCTTTTCCTTGGGGAAAGTAGAAATAAACTTCCTCTGTGCATCTGTCTCTTCTTGCAGTTGTGAATTCTTTCATAGTCCATATTACGGGCCCCAAAACCCTAACACCACTTACATATTCCATGGGTTTGCAGTTTCTTAAATTGCAGTCATTCCTTTGTATGGATCCTAATGATGGTAATGATGATTATGGTAAAGATAAGGATTTCACCGTTAACTTATTATTTTTATTCTTCTCCAAGTTCAAATCAACCTCTCCCAACCTCTGTTTCATAATGTTACACTTTCATCTAATCAGGAGCTGAATTCTTTCCACTTCCACTTGGACCTAACTGTTGTAGGCTCTGCTCCCAATCCAGGAGTCCCTAATCCTTCACCACCCTCCTGTGCCCATCCATTCCACAGCCTGCACCCCACATCCTGCACCCTAGAGCAGCGGTCGCCAACCTTTCGGACCTCACAGACCACCTGTGGTCCGTGGACCACCAGTTGGGGACCGCTGCCCTAGAGCACACTTGTGATCATATAAGTTCTGGTTTTTAAAAGTAAATGTATTCTGTAATGTAACAAAATGTATTGTAAGTTATAGTTAAATCTGTGTTCTATTGGCACAAGGATAGACAATAGGCAAATGGGTTACTATAGAAAGACCCAAAAAACATCCACTTGTATAATTTAATTTTTCAAAAGTAACAATACAGAGCAATGGTGCGAAGGCCTTGTGTTGTGTGGTTTTGTTTTCCAATCATGATCTGGGGGTATTGGTTAACACTACAGAAGATATGAAGACAGGCCCTATATTTCACAAACATACAAAAAAAACTCCGTATGGATAGTAGATCTAAATATGACAGTGAATATTTTTAAAGAAAATATGAGCAAGAATTAGCAAATCTTTTAAAAATAGAAAACAAAAAAGTGTGCCCCAGGCTGCAGAATCCCTAAATTTCACTGATTTTGTGGACCAAAACAATTTGTAGGGGTTTTCTTGTTACTTTTCTGGAGGATATACATGCTCACCACAGCCTCCAATACACTGTGGATCCAACCTGACTGGGGTTCCGGCCATGCCCCCGAGCCTAAGGGTGACGTCGTCACAGCACCCTACGAGGACACCGCCAGGCCGCCCGCAGCGCACCCGGGACAACTACAGAGAGCGAAGGATCGCGGAGAGCCCAGCCCCGCAGCACCTGCTCAGGCGAGCGGGGAGGCGCCGGGCAGCCACAGCCTAGTCCACCAGGCCCCAGCTCGGCCAGCACCTTCCGGCTCAGCCACGCCCCGCCTCCTCCACCGCGCAAGCCCCGCCCCGCCCTCAGACACGCCCCGACTCCGCCCCCGGTCTCAGACACGCCCCTGACCCCGCCCCCGGTCTCAGACACGCCCTGACCCCCGCCCTGGTCTCAGACACGCCCCCTAGCCCTGGCCCCGCCCCCGGTCTCAGCGACGCCCTGACCCCGCCCCCAGTCTCAGACTCGCTCCTTGCCCCGCCCCGGTCTCAGACACGCTCCTTGCCCCGCCCCGGTTTCAGACACGCCCCCTGGCCCCGCCCCCGGTCTCAGACAAGCCACTTGGCCCCCGCCCCGGTCTCAGCGACGCCCCGACCTCGACCTCGACCCTGGTCCTAGCCACGCCCCCGACTCAGGCCACGCCCTTGTTCACTGCCCTGCTCCGGGCAGCTTTTCCCGACGTGTCCTGCTCCCGCCATGGCGCTGCTGGGTCGGGTTTCCTTTGCTCGAGGTCGCGGTCCTCGGCGGGTAAGGCGGCGCTGGAGGGGGCGGCTCGGGGGGTCCCCGCGAGCACCCTGCTTGTGCCTGCCTCGGGGCGGCGTCCGGGGCCCGGGGCGGGGACGGGGGTCCTGGCGCGAGGAGTATGGGCCCGCCGCGGTTCTCAGGGTCGTCCCGTTCCCAGGCGTGTGCCAACTGGGACAAGGGGACCGAGCGCACGCGGCGGGTCACTGGCCGGAGCAGGCCCTTTCTTAAGAGGGAAACTCCATCTTGTGCTTCTGTGCGACTGAACATTAGTGCAGCCCTCGCTGGTTTGGCCCAGTGGACTGTGGACTGAAGGGACCCAGGTTCGATTCCGGTCAAGGGCACATGCCTGGGTCTCCTTCGGGCTTGGTCCCCAGTGGGGGGCGTGCAGGAGCAGCCAATCAAAGATTCTCTCTCATCATTGATGTTTCTATCTCTCTTTCCCTTTCCCTTCCTCTCTGAAATCAATAATTAAAAAACATTAATACAAACAAATTCACATAAAAAGAGGAAAAAAAGATCAGCACCCCGCTGTCGGACGCGGTGCTGGGCAGCGCGCACCGGTGCACCCAGGACCTCTGCCTGCAGACAGCGCGCCGGAGGGCGGGCGGCAGGGGCGGAGGGGCGGAGGAGCGGAGGAATGGAACCGAGAAAGGAGAATGTCCGATAGCCCCTCCCCCAACTAAACAAAACCCTGACTCAACCAACCCAAGAGGCCCGGGTCCCTGCCAGGCACAAAAAATAACCTGCCAGTGGGAGCACTTCTGACAGTTGGATAGAACGGGGCACCCTGGTGTTCTTTCTTGGAAAAGGACAAATCCCAAGTAAGGAGAACACACGAAACGGTCTGATGAGTCTCCCAAGTGACACAGCTTTCTTTGTAAAAGATCTGCTCAGGGCTGTGGCTTTGCTGATACCGGTTCCTCTTCCTGTGAAGATTTAGGTTATAGGTCGTAATCAGAGACACTAATTAATGGTTTCTGATTCCTTCTCATGTCAGTCCTCCAGCAGCCCTCTGGTGGAAAGTCTCCAACACCAACCGCCCAGAGTGTGGTAATAGCTCCCACACGCTGCACCCCAGCTCTCTGACACCATTAGACAGTGCAGGCTGAGGGAGAAAATGAACCCCTTTAAAAACTAATTGCAATCTGACAATTCTGAAATTCCTTTACTTAAGAAAAATGTTGAGAATGGGGGTTTGGAGGCAAGAAACCCTGTTGCGATGGGTGGTGGGTCCCTCCGTTTGAATTCCTGGGGTCAAACATCAGTGAAGCTGGAATTGTATGTGTGTGCAAATACAGCTTGAAACCCCTCATTTGAATATTTTTGTTACCAAGAACCAAGAGAAATGTTTCTTTTGTTACACATCCTATTTAAGAAGTACTGTGCTGCCCTAGCCGGTTTGGCTCAGTGGATAGAGTGTCGGCCTGTGGACTAAAGGGTCCTGGGTTCGATTCTGGACGAGGGCGTGTTTGGGGGTCACAGGCTCCTCCTGGCTCAGGCCCAGTCTCTGGTCAGAGGGCCTGCAGGAGGCAAGCAATTGATGTGTTTCTCTCACATCAATATTTCTCTCTGTCTTTCCATTCTCTCTAAAAATCAATGGAAAAATATCCTTGGGTGAGGATTTAAAAAAAAAGAAAAAGAGGTGCTGTGTTAAATTGTGTGGTTAGCTACAAAACAAACATTCAGAACTGGCTCTGTCCCTGGCCCTGGGGACAAAGATTTAAAAAATTGAATTAAAATCCTGCTCTCAGTTGTATTGAGGAAAACATTCATTTATCCACTTGTGTATCAGGAAATGCTAATTAAGTGCTTACTAAGTGTTGAGCATTCTTTGGTGTTGAAAAAGGTACCTCCTGTCATTGAGCCCCGTGTATTGTTTTAACCTAGGGATGCTGACCCATGAGTGCACCTTAAAATCAATTTGTGTAAGAGCAAGATCAGTCAGAAAAATAAACTGGAGTCGGTAGGAAGTGCCAGCCTCCATCTCGTGCAGTAAGCTCAAGTTCACTTTTCTTTTTAATTTGCCATTCTTCCTTTGTCAGTTCACTCTTTGGTATCTGTGATGCTTCTTTTTCTTTTGCTTTCATAAAAGTAATAACTTTACTATTTTTATGAAAATGATACCTGGTCAATATGAATTCAGGTGTTACAGTTAAAGAAATTTAAAAAACAACAACAATAAGGTGTTATGGTGACCTTGGGTGACTGTCATTCCAGATACCCGACTGCAGGGAAAAGGACTGGTGTCCGGGCATCATTCGGCTTGGATGTATCACATTTATTTTCCCCTTAGAACTAAACATCGGTTCATTGTCTTCTGGTACCGAATGTTGTTGGGAGAAGTGTAAGGCCGGCTGGATTTGCCCCCTTATTTGTGCTTCTCTTCTCTCTGGAAAGCCTAAGAAGTCTTTCTTTATACAGTTAAAAATTCCAGAATAAAAGCCGCGTGGAGGCAAGGATCTCATCTGGTTTGTTCGCTGCTGCATTTTTTAATAAGCACATTCCCAAGTCAAAATAAACCCCTTCAGGAGCAGGAGTTCT